TATTTATAATTCTGTTTAGCTCTTATTTTTCAGTAATTACTAATAATTTTAGGTCTATGTCTACAGTAATTGCATTATGCACCTCGGAGATGTAGGGATCAACATGTTATACACATATCGGTGTTTTAGGATGGGGACGACATACTGTTTTGATTGCTTTGAAGAAATTCATTAACCCATCAATTTATAACAAATGATTATGATGTAAAGAGAGATGAGGAATTGGTTGGAATACATTTTATATTATATAAAATACATGAAATTTGTCCTGTTTTCTCTGTACAAAAGCATCGTGTTGGAATCAGAAAGTGGTCTTGTTTATAATACAGTCGAATTTTCACGATTTTATTCAACATTTTAATAGAAATCACTGATATTCTGAGACCTTTGACAGCTTCCGTCAAATTACATTTCGATAAGGTATTTTCCTATTGGTCCATAATAATAATGTTGGTGAAATCGGCCCTAAATCTATGAGCCCACGTTGGAAACTTAACTACACTAAACTTGGCTACATCTGGTAGATTTGGAACCAACACCTGTTAGATACTGTGTTTGTATTATTATTAGGTTTTTTGAATACTATACCTACGAAATAATTATCTCCAGGAAATGGAAAACGATTTGTCACATTGACAGTGAAGGAGGCTTTGTGCCCTCTGCTAGATTGGCATTTGAGTCAAACCGACTACCACGGAGAAATGGACGAGAGTTCGTTTGAACGATGGTCTGAAGAAACGCTCCCAAAGCTTGACGACAATGCCGCCATTGTACTTTATAATGCTGCATATCACACTAGAAAACTAGAAAAAGTCCCACAATGTCCACAAGAAAGGCAGAAATTCAACAATGGCTCCTATCAAAAGACATTAGTTTCAACCAAAATATGGTCAAAGCAGAACTTATCCAACCAAAATAAAACCGTTTTAAGGCTATCCCCCTATCACTGCGAATTATATCCCAATGAAATGATTTGGGCAAATATAAAAAACTATGTGGCTGCAAACAATAGAACATTCGAATTGTGTGACGTGAAAAATTTGTGTTATGAAGCTGTCAACAAAGTTACGGCAGACCATTGGAAAGATTGCATTCGTCACGTTCAAGAGACAAATTGAAACAAAGATGTGGGATCTGAACAATATGATCAATATTCAAATTGAACCTCTAATAATTAATTTTAACCATTGGGACGATGATTCAAGTACTTCCTTCAGCGATCAAAGAATTGTGAAAAATAAGTGCAATTCTTTCTATAAGAATAATAATTTACTTTGTTAGATTATTCCAAGACCGTTGAGGAAAATACGGATCTGTACAATTTCGCTTTTGGGCATGTTGTGTTTTATCTGGGCGTAAATGGACTACGAATGAGGTATAGTGCGGCATATTTTCCAAGTAATGAACGTATAGTTGCCTACAATTAAAACTCAGCCTGCACAGTAACACGTGAATCACCCGGTGTAGCGTAGTCAAGGATTCAATGGATTAATAAATTCTCTCATAAACGACGCGACACCTATTACAGTAGAAAAGCGTCCTCCAGCATTTTTTCAACTCCCCTGAAAAATGATGTCTGTCATGCTTTTCCCTGCAAAATACAAGCGTTGAAAACTCTACACGGAGGAATAGTAATTTAGAAATGTTGCCATTTGCTCCACATATGCCAGTTCGCATCGCCCATTTATGCTCCTTGTTATAGATACACGTCCGCATTTTTATGCGAGAATCCTCATGTTTATTCCCCGTCGCAGTTTGTCTCAACCAAAATACGTTCATAGATGCGAATTGCATTACTGTTTCGGATAATGGGTTCAGTAAAATGCAGTGTATCTATGTATGAACAATGATAATATAAAGTTTTTTTATGTAAATTAAGCCTAGCATGAACACAGAAGTAATTATACCGAGTGCTGTCCTTTTAATTTCATTTTTTCTGTCACGCTCTGACCTTAGCTTTGTAACTACAACTATATCCGTCACAATGTGAAACTACCTAAGTTAGATTATAATTTTTGGAAGAACTGTATTGCAGGCTAGGTTTGAGATTCCGGTGATTCCCCAGAGATGATATTTGCTTTGACCCTGTTAGACAATTTTCGGCTCAACAACAGCCAGATCTCAGGTGTCGCGTAGAAATGCAGCTAAATGCGACCTTTATACTCTTTATACTAGGTTACGTTATTTCTTGTTCCATCAATATAATCCTACCAGTCTTACATCCACAGAATATGCTAGTGTGTGGACACGCAGGCCACCTTAGCAGTAATATCTGACGCGAATGTCTGCAATAACAACTCTCAAGTGCAACTTTTTAGGTAATCAGCATCTGACCATTAAAGACCTGTGGTTTGTCATCCGTAAAAGAAAACAAATTGCAACCTCAGGAATAGGACAATTGGGCGTAATACACGATAATAGCGTAGTATGAGGCAGCGGCATCATGCCGAAATTGTGTAGTAGGGCAATAATTGTCAGTGCCAACACGTGTGCCCATACAATTTAGAGTTTAGTTTATCAATTAATAGACGCTGTTTCAACATCATTATAGTATAGAAGCTAAATCATAAAGTCATGAATATCTTCCCATCCATATGGTAACAGTATATGGATCAACGGGCCGAAATGAGTCTCCTACTCCATTTGTCAGTATGGTGCACAAATTCAAGATACTGTTGAGTTTTGGATTATGGTGCTCGATCAACAACTGGTCAAAGCTTATTGCTTAAATGAGAAGTGATACCAAAAATAACGTGAAGCATCATCCCATTGTTTCCTAAACCTACATATCAAGCTTTCAGGATTCTAAGGTCAAAGCCTTCACAATTCCCAGATGTATACCAGTCAATGTCATAATGTCGCCTGAAGACAACAAAAGATTACATTTTATTTTTAATATACGAGCCCCTACCCGCTTCAGTTGGCCCCCTTCAAGATTTGTACCAAAATATGCCTTTATTATAAACTATTTACTTCTAAAACAATTTATTTTCTCAAAAACATTTTAGATACACTCTAGTCGTAAAAAATACATATTTAAAATCACTTAGACCTATAACTAATAGAACATCTGAACAAATAAACAATGTCCGAATAAATGCGCGAAGTTAACAAAGCATCAATTGATAGATTACCATTGGGTAACATCACCTCTATTTTTTATTACGGCTGAAATTCTTTGGGGCATAGTGTTAACCAAGTTTTGGCAAAAATCAACAACAATCCCATATTTCTTGAAGCTTTTGTCTCAGTTCGGTGGTCGTACGAGCAGGACGTTGTCGTAGAACCGTTTTCATCTCGTGCCACAAATGTTCAATAGGTGACAGATCTGAACTGCTAGAAACCCATTTCAAAAGTGGTACATTATTTTCTTCCATCCATTTTATAGCCTTTTTTGAGGTATGGCACCATCTTGCTGAAACACAAAATCTTGGCCGGATGTCAAACATTCTTCCATCACTGGTAAAAGCGATTCTTCTAAAGTTGCCAAATATTTGTTTGGATCCACATTTCCATCAATAAAATGAAGTTTTCCTAGTCCTTTTGATGACATACTGCCCCAGACCATAATGAATGCTGGAAGTTTCACTTTTCTCTTCAGACAGTCAACATGGAATGCTTAATTTTTTTTTGCGAATAACTCTACTGCGACTGTCACCAACACAAACTTCGAATCACTCCATTGGATTGCACACCATTGTTGAGGTGTCCATTGTCTATGTTCTTTAGCCCATCTAAGCCGATTTTTCTTTTGCAGTGGAGTTAATAGTGGCTTTTCTTTTGCCTATAAACAAGTTGTGCAACTTTAGGGTTTTTACTTCTACTTTTTTATAAGAAAACTTACCTGGCAAGTGCCAAATCCCAGTTTGTGGGCTTCTCTATGAGTTGTGGACCTCGAAATGCTCCTTCCAACAGCATCACTCCACAGAGCACTTAATTGTAAATAATTGGCACGCCTGTTTTTCACGATTATTCTTCTTAATGCTCTTCGGTCGGCATTTGTGATATTACTTTTTTTCACATATTGTGGCTTAATATTAACGGAACCTGTTACGTTATATCTTCTAACAATATTTCTCACACTTTACCGCGATAAGTCTAACAAAGTTGCAATTTCTGAGTTTGATTTCCCAGAATTGAAAAATTTAATTATCAGTAACCAAATTTTCTCACTAATAACCTTTCCTCTAGCCACTTTGAAAACCCTAACTACCCAAAACTATTTTAAACGTATTCTGACAGGTGCGATTAATAAAAACAATTGTCATGGCTTTTATTTTTCACAGCCACCTATGCGTTATAGACTTATTTTGCATTGAAATGAAAATAGGTTGATATGCTGTAATTGCAACATGTGTTATTTTTATGCTGCAAGTTTGATTAGGGAGTGATAAAGTTGGTGTTTTCTACTATATATTATCACAATATTCATTGTTAATAATTTAAACCTATAAAACCCTACTACATTCTTATTGTTTGTATTTGATAAGAAAAAAACTAAGATTTCAATAGTTGGGCCAACTGAAGTGGGAAGGGGCTCGTAGTATATAGAGGACGCTACATACAGCCTATTATTCTGATACCTACTCGACTAGGCTTATGCTGCCAGTTTGATTTTTGTTGACACTTCGTATGAAAATCGTATTTTTATGTGAAAGCTTACAAGGGTGTGAATGTCCAGACAGCTCTGGTGTCCCATAAAATTTCAGAAAAAGGCAAGGTTTTATGTATTGTGAGTGGCTTAAACTGAATTAAGAAAAATCCTGTTATAGGAAAGTGTTAACCCAGTAGCTTCCAGCGTATGATTCATCATACGTAAAACACGTGGCCATTTGAGGTTATGTTTATATCTTGCGCTAGCGGCATAGCGAGCGGTTATGCAAATGTTTGAGTGTAGATAGGTCTAATATTGATAATACAACATTGCAATTCAGTTCTATTATGACTCGTATGGCTTAGTGATCTGTTATAAGAACGAGAGGTTCACATTCACCATCGGAATGAGTACCAGGTAAGTTATTCATTATTTCCATGAAATCAGTTATTTTATTTGTTGTTTACTTTGTCCGTTTCTGTGCCTTAGGGATTGCTCCAAGTATTTCCATTTTCGACAAATGTTAAAATTTTAATTTATCATTGATTCGAGACTTTTTGTGTCACGTATGATATATCATACGCTGGTCCACAGTAGGTATTATTATTATTATTATTATTTGATATTCACTATATTTTACAGGAAAACTTTGTATAATCCAGAGAATCCAAAGGACTTGGAGGAGCTGATGAACTACTTCCACAGCCTGGACTCAGACGATGAAGCTCATGAGCAGTTTCAAAGTGCAGAGAGCTTAGAAGTCGCGTTAGTTCCTCCCGACGATGCCATGGACAGCGACCAAGATGATGCTCACAGTGATGACGATATGGTACCTAGTATCAGCGATCTGGGAAAGGGTATTCTCTCTCAGAAAGTAGATGTTTTTGCTGTTAATAAGAATAAAGAAAAATCTCCAATCAAAACTGGAATTCAGTCTCCTCTACAAATCCGACCAAGTGACCAGAACTGGGAAGAGAGTGATGATGAAACCCTGGCTGATAAGCAGAAAAGACTGAAAATTCAATTTCCTTCTGTCAGAAAAAGTACACAAAAAGTCAATAGAGCATGGCAAGAAATAACCCTTGAACCACGAGACCAGCCAATTGAGTTACTAAAGGAAAATATTCTTACCGATATATTAGAGAGAAATATGGCGCCGATCGATTTGTTCAAAGTTTTTTTTTGTGAAGATATAATCACCACAATGTGTATAGAAACAAAAAGATATGCCGACCAGAAGGGATTTCATGGTTTCTCAGTCACAGCCGAAGATATCTATAAATATCTAGCTATAATTCTCTTGTCTGGGTATAGTCCAGTACCTTCCAAACGCTGCTACTGGGAAACACGAATGGATACCAATAACCCTCTAGTTACAAACGCGTTGTCAAGAAACAAGTTTGAAACTATCCACAGATCTTTTCACTTGAATGATAACAGTGAAATTGATAAGAATGATAAAATTTATAAGAGTAGACCCTTGATCGACCACCTAAATAAAATATCACAGGAATGTATTTCTCCATTAGGAAAATACGTATCTGTAGATGAGGCAATGGAGCCTTATTATGGGAGACATCATATGAAGCAATTCATTAGAGGAAAGCCCATACGCTTTGGCTTCAAATTCTGGTGTTTATGTACCTATGGTGGATATCTCGTCAAATTTAATGTTTATACCGGTACAGGAGACAAAATAGAAGGCAAATCACTTGGCTCAAGTATAACTGAGAAACTGTGCCTAAATTTTTTAGAACAAAATAGTATCATTTTCCTAGATAACTATTTTACCTCTATTCCTCTATTAGAAACCGTAACAGCTAATAAAGTATACTGTGTGGGTACGGTAAGATCAGATCGAGTAGAGAAAGCTCCTCTCAAAGATTTAAAAAAGGAGAATAGAGGTAGTCACTACACAATTCATGACTCAACATCCAGCATAACATTGACACGTTGGCATGACAATAGTCAAGTTACTGTTATATCAAATGTACAAGACAAAACCCTTTACCAGACGAAAGGCTCGTGTAAACGATGGTCGAAGAAGGACAAATTTGCTATCCAAGTTGACCAACCGTCTCTAGTACATTTATATAATAAAGGAATGGGAGGTGTCGATCGATTCGACCAAATGAGAGGCTTGTATAGATCTAGGATTAGGTCGAAAAAATGGTACTGGCCGTTGATTCGCTTTTGCCTGGACGGATCTATTGTCAATATGTGGCATTTATATCGTCAGGCACTTCTATCAAGGAATGAATTTATATCACTCCTTGAATTTCGTAGAAGAGTAGTCCTAGCGCTTTTAGCTGCGCCACCTTCAAACTCAAATACTGGTCCAAAACCAAAACTATCCTGTAAGGTTCTATCAGAAGTTCGATACGATGGAAAAGAGCACTGGATTGACCGACAGGAGACGCAGCGTCGTTGTGGAAAATGTGGAAAATGTACAAAATTTTCCTGTGTAGAATGCAATATAGGTCTACATCCAGATAAATGTTTCCGACAATATCACCAGAAGTAATCTTTAGGCTTTTTATGGATGTATTATTCTATAATTGTTTCTTTGAATATATATTAGACATACCATTGTTTTTGACTTTTTTTCATCCTACTGTAGCCCAGCGTATGATTTATCATACATCAAAAAAAACTACTTCAAAACCATAATTTTTATAAAATCATAATTTTATATGAAAATGTTACCAAATAATGATAACATACCAAAAGATTAAGTGAAATGCCAGAAAAAAATAATTCTGGGCATTAATGGGTTAATATAGAATAGCCATCGGCATTGTGAAAGCACACGTGCCTCAATGTCGTACTTTAGCTGGTCAATTGTGCGATCGTTTTCATTCATTCATATACTTATTTTCCTAAGTGCTCAATCCCAATCGACATTTGTTAACAAAATTTACCTAAACCATTCTGAGAAATGCAAGACATTGGACAGAACAATAATTTATCATGAATTCTGACAATGGGCAACTGGAGATTTAACTTTGGAATTGATCTACCTTGTTTTTGAATTCAAAAGTTGTTAGGAAATGTATCTAGTTTCTCATTATAAGCAGTAATTTAATGTTGTCCAATTTAGCGCCACGAGGCGATATTAAGAAACCTTAGCACATCCCTAAAATCCACTATCAACGCAGTTTAATGACATTGATATTATACTGAGTTTTCCAGGAGTATCTACTATAGTAAAATAATAGCAGATTATCCAGTAACATTTCAACAGTCCCCATATCAACAAGTGACACACAATTCTGATGGATTCGTCAACACCAGGTAGACAGAGCTGTATTTTGCTGTTTTTTTTTTTTGTACGCTACGGATTCATTTTGTACTTCTGCATACAAAAAAACGCTACAAGCAAAATGGCTGCTAATGATCATGACTACATTTCAAGTCAGGCAGTAACCAAATAAGATTTAAACAGTTTTTTCATTTGTTAGTCATCTTTACTTTTTAGAAATTGAAACAACACATAACTCAAAAACAACCATATTTGAACAACCTTACACTGATGACAATTAACTAGAAATATATGTCTATATTATTTATGCATGTAAAATTACAGATAGTGGAGGGGAAAACACGGTATATTCTGTTGACTTACCTCGAAATCAATAGATCCCGGATGTACTATAGTAACGTAGTTTTCTAATAAACATTTTTCTATGGGTACTTAGTATACTTGATTGTCAAAAGTTCCAGTAACTCAAAGTATCTACATAATATGTGGAGAGCAGCTCTGTATATTGTCCTGAGTTTTACCAGATTTATACCGACTCGTAGTTGCCAAACTTAGACTAATACAAAGCTGTGACCTGCTGATCAACTGTTCAAGTGTTTATCTCAGTGGACGATGTCATGGACACTCATGAAGCAGTTTTTGCTATACAATTTTCAATAAGCTACTTGATCTGTTCGGATCACACACCGCATAGACAGCTACTTAGAACGACTGTGTGGAGTTCAAGCCAGGTGCATAATTATTCTGTAACCGGCCTTCCTCCACTGCTTCATGATCACATTTTTTTTTGTAGTTTTTGCTTTCCTGAATTACGAATTGAGCCTGAATTGCTCATATGCTCTTGTCGTTAATAAATATTAACTTTCGTTTCTTTGCCGTGTTTAATACACCCCTGTTCAGTACCAAATGAACGGTTTACATCGCAACGCAACACAGGTGGTATTTCTGCCCTACACTTGAGTATGCCCAGTACAACTCACTTCTTGAGTCTTTTTCAAGGAAGAGAATGTGCGCCAATCTGTCGATTCTACAACCTGGTAAACATCGGCAGGCAAATATGGTCAAGTCTGCAGTGAATCTTACTTAACTTATTCTAGTTCCTTGGTTATAGTCATAGCAGTCGAACATGTTCTAGATGTGAAACGGAATCATACTCTTCACATATCAGAAATCACCGAATCCCAGTTTCCATGTCGACACCACAAGAGCTTCTCTAGCCGTAAAGGAATAATTATTTCAGAGCAAAGGCATATTTAACTGAACATCATGACTTCATCAGTTTTATCTAGTACTGCTTTTTGACGCATTAATTACGAACGACCAGGGTAGGCTGTGAAGCATTGTAGCAAACTAGGATGACATAGCTCCTTATATCATCTGACGAATTTAAAGTTCCATAGCTTTGGAAACCTAAACTTTGCCTACTTTGAGTCCCAAGCAAACCTCCTACCAAGATCTTCTTGAGATCTGGGGGCATATATTCCTTGTGACATATACCAGACATCTAACTGACCCTCGTTCCCTTAAATTCTGCCCAAAACCGTTTTCTCATTCACGAACCATGAAACTAAATACTTCTCTTACCGGCAAATTTCCTACACGTCGTTTCCGCTTAGCATCACCGGGAAGTTCGTACATAATCCATTACAAAAGGCCAAAGCGCGAACACGATGCATCTTCTGGCGCTCGCGAGCATCATCATTCAAGGAAGTGGTAATACCTGTTATGTACTTGTTAACTTAATAGACTACAAATCATGTACTTCCATAACAGCAAGTATCTGGGAGTTTTGTGTGTTCGGAAACAAGTCGAATCTATCGCAACTTAGTTGCGCGTATGGATGGTATCCTTCAAAGCGGTATGGGGGGAGGCGAGGGATTAGACCGCTGGTCAACAAACTATAACTCGTGGGCTTCTTGTTACTTAATTCAAAATTCGGTGCGGTCCATGATTTTTCTGTTTTCAATATGTTAGTTCTATCAAACTGAAATAGGTAACCAATTGAAAACGTAGTAGTGAATTTCAAGTCATACCATTGGGTATCTGCCCTTGACTCGGTTGGCCAGCTTGTGTAATACCTGTATCTCAGAAGATTGAGAAAATAGGGAAAGGGAATAATATTTGTACGGCTTTTTATGCGTCCTGGCATCAATTTTGGTTTAATTAATTAAAAACCGAACGAATCAGAATATGTAATGACGGCAAAGGTGAATATTGCCACCAGGGTCATGTCCGATTGGTAATATTCTGGTAATAGTATAATAATTATCTGTTATCTCAGTTGTTTTTTTAAACTGAAGCAGCCGCGCAGGTAGAAACTTTGATACCAAGGCACCGGGGCTGCTATGACGAGCATGGCCTTGTTTATACAATTTTTGAGCTGCACAAGCTTAGCAGAACATGGAAAAGCTCCCGCAGGCCAATTATAGCTCAATCTTGGTATCTTAGGAAGAAAGAAGTAACCGTACCAGCCAGTTCTCGATATACGACGCTAGACAGAGTGGGGATACGAGAAAGAAACCAGGTTAGTCCATCTGACAGTTTCAACGCGTAGCGGCATTATAGATGAGAGCTGTGAGCAACGGAAGAAGAGAGCCAGGTCTTATCGGTATGGGATAGACTGTTTGACTACGCCACAGTTATAACTGGAGTGTGTTGTTGCTCTTGAAAAAGTGTGTTGGTTAATACGGTCGCTTATCTTCTGAAAAGTGAAATAATAAGTTGTGAGTACCTTGTTCATCAGTACACACTGTTTGTGGTCGTTATTATCACCCTTTTCGCGATTTCTTCTACCTGCATTTTGTTAACCTCATAGCCCCGGTTGAACTGTTGTGGTGCTGCACATATCTCTAATACTAGGATTGCTGAGGGTTCCCAACAGTTCAGAATAAAGCATTTCCACGGTATTCCTAAGATTGTTAAGTCTTTAGACTAAATACCTCCAACAGTAACATATCATGTTACTATCAGAATGTACGAGGTCTTAACAGTAAGGTAGCTCTTCAATTGTTCTGTTTCTGAGAGTGAGTTTGACCTAATCACGTTGAGTGAAAACTGGTTGAGTGTTAGTGTTTTGAGCTCGGAACTATTCGCCAATATTTACACAGTTCATAGGAAAGATCGAAAGTTTGTAATTCTCAGGAAAGAAACTGGAGGTGGTGTTCTCCTTGTTGCCAAAGACTTCATTGATGCTATGGTCGTTGAGACGAGTAATTTTTAATTTTTTAATGTAGGCATTAAGTCATTTTTTGTAGTTGTTTTGTATATACCTGATGGAATAAGCGTTGCGGAGTATTAACCTTTCTTTGATGCTCTCGAACAGTGGGACTTCTTAAATGATGGTAATTCTATATTCTGTGGAGACTCCAATGCTCCTCGCTTTGTTGAGAAGGGCATGCTTGATCCAAAGACAAAAGGTATATGCAATTATTTGGATCTGTTTAATCGCCAGCAACTGAATACCGTAACTAACCACGTAAGGCGGCTCCGACGCAGTGAGTTTCAAGCCATTTCAAAACTGACACTCCATTTTTCAATATGTTTGAATGAAATTCATACAGTATGTTTAGAAGATAATTGCCCAGGGTGCTATAGGAGCACTTTTTGAAATTTTGTTTTTGCACAAGTTTTATGATGGGTTGAAGTGCGCACTTTTTCTGTTCAACCTCGCGATTTTTTTAAAACTAACCTAGTGAAAAAAATTAAAAAGTGGCTCTATAGCACCCTGTGGGGTTTTGTTTTCAGCACTCTGTGAAAAGTTCATCCAAAAGTATCAAAAAATAAACGTATTCAGATAATTTGGTGGCCCTATTTCATATAATACCGCGTCGTTCTGCAAATAGTCGCGATCGCTGATACTCCTCGATTTTTAAACCGTTTTACTTCCCACGTCATTGGCGAGGAAGTATTGTAATCGCGAAAAATTTCTAAAATGAGATGTTATGTATTTTTAAGTCATATGAAAAACTGTACCACTCATCAACTTGTAAATAACTGCTCGGATTTTTATGAAATTTTCAGACGGGGTTACTAGTATGCCAAAGCTTTGTAGTTTTAGTCCAGTGGCAACGGTGCTATAGGCAAGAAAGAAACAGTAACAATTGCTGAAACTCCGTTTTTGACGTTACAGGGGACCCTTATCATTGACAGAAAAAAGTTGTACTGCTTACAAAGTGGGGGTTGGGCGAAGGTGATTCTAAATGTTGCATCTTTGATATCAGTGAAACACGTTCTATTATTAAGAAGCTTCTGATCCCAGTGAT